GGGGGAGATTCAAACCTGCACTGGTGGAAAATAGACATTAGGGATGGGCATGAACTGGGAGAATGCAGTTTGGTTCGTGGTGTGCTCGATTCACGAACCATGAACTGTCATAAACTTTTAGGGGCCAAACAAACCAGTTCGGTTTGTGAAGTTCGTGTTGTGGTAGACGCCCCCCCCCCAGCATGCTAGAAACCCTCCCCTGGCATGCTAGAGACACCAAACTCACACGGAATCTTCTGGTGTCTCTCCTCTATCTGCCCTCCCAGTTTGATGAGGATTGAATTTACAGAGCCTGTGTTATGGCCCCCCAAAGAAGGTGCCCCATCCTCCAGTGTTTCTAATGGACTAAGGTCAAACCAGAGAAACCCTCAGTAGGCGGGGCATTTTTGCAAGCCCAGCAGAACCAGTGTAATGTGCCCAGCAGAACCAGTGTCACTGTGGCAGAGCAAACCCAACAGGACTAAGATCAAGCCAGAGAATCTCTGCAGTAGAAATTGAAGGTGGTGGTGGGGGGGGGCATTTTTGCAAGCCCAGCAGAACCAGTGCAATGAACAGAGTGCTTGGCACTATCAGTGCCATCAAAGAGTGCCCAGCAGAATTCGGTGCTATTGTGACAATATGAGCTCAACAGAACTGATGTCTAGCACAGAATCACACTCCAAGGCAGGGGGGCTGTAAGCTCTGTGCAAGAAAATGGGAAGAGAACCCAAAGGAAGGGACAAAAGGGGGGGGAACCTCTTGAAACTAACAAGTCTAGTTTGAAACTGACAAATGGGCAATACTTCTGGTGGAAAAAAAGAAAACAGTCCAAGGCTGGAGAATTCGCTCTACCCCCTTTGCTTTTAAGTTCCTGCCCCCTGTTGCTTTTGATTTTGTAAACATTTTGATTGAGTGGAGACCATCTGTCTGGAAATGAATCCATTCACCAATGGGCATGAATCTCCATGAACAGCTTGAAAGTTTGTGGAAAGTTTGTGCCAGTTGACCTGCCACAAACTTCACTTGGTGAACCATGAACTGCCCAAAATTTGTCATGAAGTTTAGTTCGTGAGCCGGTTCGTGTCCATCCCTAACAGACATTTTTGGCCAGGAATTTGGGCTGAGACCTGGTGCTGCACGTAAAGCATCCCAAATTAAAGATGTGACTACCGAACTTATTTGGTTACAGTTAGATTCTACAGTTTGTGGAGACTCAAAATCTGGACTGGGAATGTTTCTGAGGAGCAGCTCTTTATTAGATTTTATACTGTCTTATTGTGATAGTAGACATGTAGGGAAGATGAGTGCCAGGTTTCAAGTTGCACATAATGATTGAAGTTTGGCTGAGGCTGTTAGTCAACACTGGGAGTACAAATATGGCATCCAGAAAACGTAAGCCCTATCTCAACTGCACCAGCTCCTTCCACTGTTCTTTTATATCACCTCCTCCCAATAGGCCTATCTCCACCAGAAACCATACTAACAATATGAGGAAAACCTGAGGTTGCAGTTCCACCATGGAGGGGTGTACTTACTGAGGACTCGTATCGGAGAGGCTTTTCTTGCTGCACTTACTGCAGTCAGATATCTAGAATAATTCATGGCTACTGGGCCAATCACCATATAGAGCTTCTAAAGGAACTGGACTGAGTCTGAAAGAAAAGAAAATGAATGGAAGCACCACTTTTTCAAAGCAGTGTTAAAAAAACCCTTCATTATAAAGACTCAAAAAGGAACACTCACAGAATCACAGCTTTTCCATTATAAAATGGACTCCACCCCATTACCTAAATACTAGAAAACACAGTGTTCCTATAGTCAAATTAACTATGCATCCCTTATATATTCAAAACAAATGATTAACTTAGATGTTGTTTGCCACACAGAGAGCTACTAAATATTTACCAAGTGTCCTTTGTTCAGGCATAGAGCATGATCAAACCGTACAAAGTTTGACATACAATGTACCCATGCTCAGGAACAGTCTCATATAATTCCTATAGGGTATCAATTCAAGTGAATGCAAAAGTTCTCATTAATACACCCATCCCACTTCCTTTTTTAAATTATTCTCATGGTCCAGAGTGGTAAGCCAATACAATATTAGAGATATAAAACACAGGGAACAAGCAACCACACTTCTTCCAAACAACCATGTCTACTAATATTTTATACTTCAAACTCAATTAATATTTTAATCTCAGAATTCAATGGGAAAGCAAATGGTCTGTCCCTAAGACTGCCAACATGCCTCACACAAGGTGCATCAAGCTATTACCAGTGCAGGATGCTAGATGACAGGGTGTAAGACATGTTACACACATATCAAGCAACTCAATTTGTAAAGAATTCAAAACTGAGTGTTATTTATTTAAGAAAAGAGATTGGATTTATACCCCGCCCTTCACTACCCAAAGGATTCTCAGAGCAATTTACAATCTGTTTCCCTTCCCCTCCCCACAACAGACACCCTGTGAGGTAGGTGGAGTTGAGACAGCTCTTTCCAGAACTGCTCCTGAGAGAACAGCTCTGAAAGAACTTATGACTGACTCAAGGTCACACCAGCAGCTGCATGTGGAGGAGGAATCAAACCCAGTTCTCCCAGATTAGAGTCGTGCTCTTAACTATTACACTAAACTAGCAACAAAGTGGTATTATGCTCCTGTTAAAGGGACATTACATCACATCTCGCTCTCACACAAAAAAAGATAAAATCCTTATAGCAACAAAGTGGTATTGTGCTCCTGTTAAAGGGGCATTACATCACATCTCCCTCTCACACAAAAAAAGATAAAATCCTTATAAGTAGATTTTTTAAAGAAGAGAAGAAGAGATTGGATTTATACCCCACCCTTTCATTATCAACTGCCTTTCATTATCAAGGCTGATGCCTCTAGTGTGGCATTAGGAGCTGTACTTTCACAATGAGACACCTCCTCAAGTACTCTGCACCTACTACTCTTGCCAGCTAGCTCCTGCAGAAAGAAATTATATGATCTGGAAGTGGGAGCTACTCGCAATCAAGGCAGCTTTCAAGGTTTGGCGGCATGATCTTGAGGGGGCTTGGCATCCAGTCCAAGTTTACAGCAACCATCAGAATCTGGAACACCTCCAAACAGCCCATCACCTAAACCAGAGGCAAATTTGTTGGTCCTTATTATTTTCTAATTTTAATTTCAAGATAACTTACATACTCACCTCCCAAAATAAACAGGCAGATGTCCTCTCGATGAAACCTGAGTACACCTCACCACCAGGTGAAGATCAGTCTTTGGCTACCATTTTGCCCGCTGAAACTTTCACCACCACATAACCCTCTCTGGGGCTCTCCGATAAGGATGTTTGCTCAGAGACATCTCTGGGATCTCTGTGACCCCCATCAACCCAAGTCAGAGGGGTTCACAGAAGAACATGGTCTGCTCACCCATTGGGGCCAGGTATATGCCCCACCAGGAGCATTCTGGATACAAGTGCTGCAGCTGGCACATGATTCTAGACCTTCTGGGCACTTCGGCTGTCACAAAACAACACACCTGCTAACCTGAGAATTCCTGTGGTCCCGAGTTCAATCTGATGTGGCCTGGTACATGGACTCCTGAGAGGTTTGTAGGTGAGCCAAAGACCTTCCCAGCAAACCCTCCAGACCACTACAACCATTACTTACTCCTACAGGACCCTGGAAGACTGTATCCATGGAGTTAATCACCAATCTGCTGTGCTCAAAGGCCTAGACATATATCCTCATGGTGGTGGACCTGTTTACAAAAATGGCCCACTTAATTCCCTGTCCCGGACTTCCCACAGCTCAGGAAACCACAGTTATACAACCAGCACATCTTCAGACCCCATGGAATACTGGATCGCTTAATCACTGATCAAGGGGTCCAGTTCACCTCTTGATTTTGGTGGATTCTGCATTCTATTCTCTGCACCCAAGTTCATTTATCATCTGCCTACCATCCCCAATCAGACAGACAAACTGAATGCACTAATGCTACCCTGGAGCAGTCCATTAGATGCTGTGCCAACCATCAGCAAGACAATTGGATAGTACTATTTTCCCCTGGCCAAGTTCACCTATAACAATGTGGTGTACTCATCCACTCAGCAGACACTTTTTGTGGCGAACTACAGCTATCACCTTCAGTTCTTCCCCTGCACTACACCTCCTTCTGACATCCCTGCAGCTGATGACTGTATACGGGATCTCCAAATCATACAGAAGCTTCTACAAGAGCAACTGCAGCAAGCCAAGGAGGTTGCTGATCGCAAACACCAACCAGGCAAATCTCTGAACATGGGAGATCGAGTATGGTTATCCATTCATCATATCTGCAGCCAGAGACCTTCCCGCAACCTGGACGCCAGGTTCATCAGCCCATTCCTAATAATGGATCAAACTAATCCAGTAGTGTATTGCTTGCAATGGCCACCAATGCTCCTGATCAATCCTGTTTTCACTGGTCTCTCTTAGCTCCTGTTTCGCCTCTGGATCCACACAGGCCTCAGCCACCTCCTCTCCCACCAAGAATCATAGATGGACAGGAGGAATACGAAGTCGCTCAGGTCCTTGATTCCTATCAACCTTGAGGTCAACTACAATACTTGGTTGATTGGAAGAGGTATGGCCCAGACGACTGTTCCTGAGAATCCACCAGCAATCTTCATGCTCTGGACCTCATATGCCAGTTTCACCAGGCCTACCCCCAGAAACCTGGTCCCCCAGTTGGGGGCACCCTGAGACAGGGATTGTGTCATGGGTCAGCTAGGGTTCAGCAAGAACAAGGACTCCTCTGGAGAACAGGAGCCCCATGTAGCCAGCTCTGAATCAGCAGAAGCCAGCAAGCAGGAAGATGAGCTGCAGACATGTCAGGATTCACAGCCAACAGCTGGTGCAGAGCCACTGACAATTTCTAGCCCCGATCTTTTCCAGTTTTCCAGTGTCACCCACACTCTTCATGTGCCACAGACAGAGGCTACAAACAGAACTACAGGAGAGATGACATAGTGCACATCTCCTGGCCCAATGTCAGCTGCTTGAGTAGTTGCAGGATTATTCCTGAACAGCTAGCTGTAAGCATGACCCTAAAGCATATGGCTGTAAAAAACAGCCAAGAGAGGCTGTTAGGTGTGGAAGCAACATTTTGAAATCTCTATGACTACTGCATTGGATCCTGCTTCACCCTTGAGACTCTGGACCATCCTGACTCTGTCTTGATCTTGCCCCTGAACCTGCTTGTGAGTAACTCTTGGATTATCAGACCCTGCTGTATGTACTGAGTCTTGGACTGGACATTGACTATGCTTCTTGAGTTGGTGCTCTTGCCTTACTTGCTCTGTGCTCTGACAGAGTGACCTATGCTGTTCCTGGCCTGGCTCGTGACATCCACCTTCAATACTTATGACTTCCTTTAGTCTTGAAACTAATTGATAATATATCAGCCACTGAATGTTTACACCTTTGCCTTTAAAATCTTGCTGAGACTTGATTTTCCCCTGAGTGTTTATCATCATGCCATATGTTAAGAAATCATTTTTATTTATTGTGTTCTTATCATAATGTGCCACTCCTGGGGACATAAGCAAAGAGTTTGAAGGCTCAAGAAATTTGGGTGTGTAAACTGTATTATCAAAAGACCATCTTTAATTATGTGTCTTCTTTCTTGCATTATGATCTTTTTAGTTGATTTCTCAATCCATAAATAATTGTGTAGGTAGGCCTTCATCAAGATCTGCTGATTCTAATTTTACTATTATTTGTTGTAGGTTTTTAATCAACTCCACAATCTAGACCAGACCTGCTGCTTGGAACTGCTTAAACCTCCTCTCTTTTTCTCATCTTGTAATATTTTGAATATTCTTGCGTTGTTGTTGTTTTGCTATTCCATATGAATTAATTTATCTGTCTTTGCCACTCTTTCAATATTCTTTCTTCTATGTATATGGGTAACATCTGGAATAAAAAGTTTAGTTTTGACAGCACATTCATTTTGATTGCAGAGATTCCTCCTAGCCATGAGGTTTTTAGTTTTTTCCAACTTAATAAATCTGCTTGTATCTATTTCCAAATTTTCTCGTAGTTATTTTTTTAAAAGATTACAGTTTTGCGCAGTCACATTCCCAAATATTTAATAGGGTCAATGGCTGTTGAGCACTTTGTGTTCTTTGTAATCTCTTCTTGTTGTTGTATTAAAATTTTCATTATAATTTTTTTCCTGTTAACTTTCTGATATTATTTTCTTCCCTTTCAATGATTTATTCCTGTTCCCCTACACAGTACTTGGGCAGAACTTTTGATTATTTTTAATACATTTATTTTAAAATAAAGCAATTGTTGAGGCAGCCATTGGATAAACTTTTTATTGTAGTTAACAAAAAGGAAAGGGGGGGATCACAAAACATAAGATTCACTCATTCCAAAGTTTTTTTTAAAATAAGGAAAAAGCCACCATTACACCTTACTGTTTCACAGTATGGGAAGGGGCTGCCATTAGTTTTAAGGGAGAAACCAGTGCAGTGGGAGAGGCTCTCTTACCTTTTCCCCCCTCATGCCACTTTCTTACCAAAAACTGCTGTGCACCAACCTGCTTTGATTTCCCCCAGTGTGGGTAAAAGATGCTTGGGGGTAGTAATTTGCTGCAAGAAAAGACCA